TCCACCTAAGGGCTTTGGATTTCTGAGACCAACGCCTGCGGCGGAGGGCTGGTTAAGGCGAGGAGGGTTGCGGTTATATACATCTACTCTGCTCCTAAACCTGGAATCACTATAAAAACCAAAGAAGCAACTGTCTTCACCTCCCTCCACGCGGGCTTCCTTGAACTTGCCTCCGCAAAGCAGCTCGCTCCGATCACTGTTTGAAGTGGCATCAACACCCCGCCCCACCCTCCAACCCTTACAAGTTTCCTTTTCTTGCTGGCACCGGCCACATCATAATAACATAGACCTATCTGTTGACTGTCCTCTCTTCCCTCCCCACCCCCACCCAACACAAGCTCGCTGAGGTCAGGGCCGGGGTCTGTCCTCCCCTGGGTCCCCAGCCCAGCTCTGAGTGAATTGCACATGCTAATGTCCCAGGAGCACTGCTCCAGGCCAGAGGGTTCCTCATATTGTTATTCAGGTCTGAGCTCAATCGTCCTCCCGAGAGCCCAGGGCCTGCCTGGCCACTGTATCTAAAGCAGCTCCACCCTGCTCAAGGCCTTACAACCGTGACCTCCATCTGTCCTCACTTCTTCCCTGGGCCTCAGTTTCCCCATCTATTACCTAAAGGGGCTTCTTCACTGCCACCTCCTTTGACCACCCAACTAGAGAAGCTCCCCTGACTCTGGGGTAACTCCTGTTACCCCATTATCCTTATTTTATTCCTTTTGTTATCACTCATCACAAGCCCTGCAGGATCTTGTTGATGTATTTGCTCAGGTATACCCTATTCTGCCCCTCCCGGCCCTCCAAGAATGTGGGTTCCAGAGGGCAAGAGTCAAATCAGCCTGGTTCACATAAATCCTGCTTGTTCATAGGTCAGTCAACAAATGGGTATTCAGCACATTCTCTTTCTTTTTCTTTCTTTCTTTCTTTCTTGTTTGTTTGTTTATTTATTTATTTATTTAGAGCACAAGCTGGGGCAGAGAGAGGGAGAGACAATCCCAAGCAGGTTCCACACCGTGGGTGCAGAGCCCCATGCAGGGCTGGAACTCACAAAATGTGAGAGAGATCATGGCCTGAGCCGAGCTCAAGAGACGGACACTTAACGGGACCGCGCCGCCCAGGCCCCTCCAGCACGTTCTTTCAACAGACCTCACAGAGGGGCTGTGTGCCAGGCACTCGGTCTTGGGGATCTGCTGGGCCCGTGAAGCCCCTGGCTTATGGAAAAAATGTGGAAGAAGTGAATTCCATCTGAGCCCAGGGCAGTGAGGTTCCATAGCACTTAAAGCCAGACATTCCGTTTTTCAGGGCCTCAGTTTCCCCCTTTGTAAAACGGGGCGGCAGGGGGGACTGCTAGACAGGACCACCACCTCGGGTCCCGCTGCTGCCCTCTCCAAGCCTTTTTCCTGCCTTGTGGCTGCTCAAGGTTTCAAAGAGAGGAGCTGCGGTTTGGACTGCAGGTGAAGGGTAGGAGTGTGCACGTGTAGGGGGAGACCAAGCTCTGTCCTTAACTCAGCCCGGAGGAAGTCTCCTCCTCTCCGAACCTCAATTTCTTCTTCCCTAAAGCGGGCATCCCGGACGTCCCCCACCTCGCAGGCAGGCGGATCAGATGGAAGCGATGGGCCAAGCCGCGGGGCGGGGGTGGTGCGTGGGGCCGCGCTGGTTTCCGAGCCCGAGAGCCCGCCCGCCACCACGTGGGGCGGCGGCAGCGCGGGCGGAACCCAGGCTGGGCGGCTCGCGGCCCGCCCGGGCCTCTGCAGCTGGGGCGCCGGCGGAAGTGGGGGCGCCGGGCGCCGCGGACCTCGGTGAGTGCTTGGGTGTCGGTGGTGGGGCGCGAGCACGTTTCACTCCCTCTCCCTGGGCCTGGCCCCGGACGCCCGCCCGCGTGCGCGGCCGGGAGTGGCGGGAAGGGGCAGGTCCGCGCCTGCAACGCTGGCCGTGGGGACGTTGTGGTCCCCGAACGCCTGCATGGGGACTCCGGTCCGGAACGCAGCATCGGGGACGTTCCGGCGCCGGGGTTGGGGTGAGGGGCCCGGGCCGCTCAGAATGCTCTCTCTCCCTCGGGGAAAATAACAGCGACGACGACGGTAACAGTAACAACGGCAGCAGGTTGTGACTCCCGCCTTGGCGGGACGGAATCGCTTGCCTGATCTGAGCCGGGAGGACACCCAGCCCAGGCAGAGTGGGGAATGGACGCCTGGGGGCCGGGAGGACCTACTTAGTATAAGAAAAGGCTAGCTGTGGGTGGCCAGGGCGGAATTGAAAGGAAACTGACCAGCCCAGGGGGCAGAGGGGAGGGGAAGTATTCCGTGCTTGAGGTTCCGACCCTCTCTGGAGGCTCCATTTTAACTGATTTGCATCCCACAGGGCCACCTCTGGGGTGTGTGTGGACCTGTCGGCACCTTGGTTAATTGGCGAAGGTCTGGGGTCTTCACTGTTAACCTGGTAACTCGGCTATCCCTCCCCTGGCTACTGAAGGGTTAACTAAATGTCTGTCCCTTGAACTGATCCATTCCCATTTTCTTGGAAGTCAGCACTGAGGCCCCAAGAAGGAAGGTCTGGGAATCTCCTGCCCTTCCTTGTCCGTGACCTAAGTGATGGGGTCTGGAGTCTTGACTGTGCAAGTCGTGGGGGTGGGTTGGGCCGTTTTTCTGAAATCTTTGGGCCAGAAATCCTTGGCTTGGAGGATAAAGGATTCTGGGGCCTGGTCACCAGGGAGAAGGGATAATGCCTGCTTTTGCCTTCTTGGGCACACCCTACCTGACCTTTCTTAAACCAGCTTCTTATCAGGTCACACCTTGGTTCCAAGACCTCCAGCGCACCTCCAGTGCGCTGACCCTGAAACAAATCTGCCCTGCAGAGAGCAGGGGTGATGGCCCGGGTCTGTTGTCCAACCCAGGGCAGCCTGGGTTCGCTCCCTTTTCCTGCTACTCACCAGCTTGCACCCAGTAAATGATTTGGCATCTCCCAGTGCCAGTTTCCTCTTCAGGAGAACGGGGATTACGTGGTGTGACCAAATCTCCGTTGGTTGTTTTGTCTAGGGATTTCATGTGATTTGTGGCCATTTGCTTAATTCCCATCGGTACCGCGGGACGTCCTAGCCCTACAGACTAGGGTGTATCTCTTAAATCACTGGAGTGTTAACCTAGGTTGGGTGAAAGCCCTGGGGGCTGATGAGCCTTGGCTAAGCTTGGAGTGCAAAGGGCAGTGGTCAGATAAATTAGAAAGTGTGTATATCCCTTAATCCCATCTACAGTGGTAGTGGTCAAAGAAAGGAAATGTAGTCCTGAAACTAACATAATAGTGCGTGTTAACTAACAGATCAAAAACGTGGGGCGCCTGGGTGGCTGGTTGAGCATCCCGACTGTGGCTCAGGTCATGATCTTGCGGTTCGCGAGTTCGAGCCCCGTGTCGGGCTCTGTGCTGACAGCTCAGAGCCTGGAGCCTGCTTCAGATTCTGTGTCTACCTCTCTCTCTCTCTCTCAAAAATAAATAAATAAGTAAAAACATTAAAAAAAAAACCCAACCCTCATCTGACCACTTTCCCCTACCCCCACGGCCCCCCACCCTGTTCCAGGCACCATCATGCTCTGCCCGCCTGGGCCACCGAGGCAGCTTCCTCACTGGGCTCCCTGCAGGGAGAGGGATCATGTGAAAATCAGTCAGGTCCTGTCCCTCCCCTGCTCAGAACCATCCCAAGGCTCTTGCCTCAGAGCCAAGCCCTCACCTCAGTCTTCGAGGCCCCTCCCTGCCGATCTGCCTCTGCTCCCACCTCCTCCACGCTGGCCTCCTCGCTTTGCTTCAAAGTCACCCTTCCCTGGGCTTTGTATTTGCTGTTCCCACTGACTGGAACGCTGTCCCCCCAGATGTCTACAGGACTCAGTTCCTTATTTCATTTAGGGCTGCTCAGATACAACACCCTTCCTGGCTGGCTATCTCTTGCCCCCTTCTTGGGCCAGGTGGCCCCTCTGGGCACCTGAGGCTCCTCCAGCCCTGCCCGCTCTGGGTAGGCATTGTCCAGAAACAAGTCTGTGTCACCCACTGGCCTGTGAGGGCAGTTTCCCTCACCACCCTGTCCCTGGCACCACCCCACGTGAGCTGGGCCCCTGAGCAGGCACTTGGATAATGTGGACGGGTGGATCCTTCCTTTCCCTTCAACAAATATTTACTGAGCTGTGTCTGCGTAGGGAACAGACTGCAGGGTGGCGGTGGAGGCTGTGAAGAGGGAAGGAGAAGACGGTGGCTGGACCAAGGAGGAGGCAGGGGGAGGGGAGAGCGAGCGGAGGTGAAAAGTTGCTGGATCCTGGATACCTTTCCGAAGGTGACTTTACCGCTGGGTTGAACGTGGGTGGCAGAGAAAGCCAGGAGGAGTCCAGGGTGCTGTGGGATGTCCCTTGTGTGATCACCCATTGCCGCCTGAAAGGGTCTCCCGGAACCCTAGGAAGTCTGAGTCTTTTTTTTTTTTTTCTTTCTTTTTTTGCTTCATTTTACAGATGAGGAAACCGAACAGGGAGGCTGTTTGCAGAGCCGCGGTGACCTGTCCAGATCCCTCGTAGCGAATCTGGGAGGGCTAAGAACCACCCGTCTCCCCGAATCCACACCTTCCTATCCGCTGAGGGGGGTAAGCTAATGGCCTGCCTCCCGGTCTTGTGTGGCCTGCCAGCCAAGAGTGGGTTTTACCTTTTTTCCCCTCAGTTTACTTTATTACTTATTTTGAGAGACAGAGAGAGAGAGAGCACGAGCAGGGGAGGGGCAGAGAGAGAGAGGGCGAGAGAATCCCAAGCAGGCTCTGCCCTGTCAGCACGGAGCCCCACTCGGGGCTTGAACTTGGGAACGGTGAGATCACGACCTGAGCTGAAATCGAGAGCCGGGACACTTAACCGACTGAGTCCCCCAAGTGCCAAGGTTTACTTTTGAAGTGCTTGGAAGACTTTGAGAAATTTTTGTGGTGCATGAACTTAGATCAAATTGAAATGTCAGTGTCCCAATAAGTGAGGTTGTAAGAACGGCCGTGTTTATTATTTTCGTGTCTGTCTGTGGCCGCTGTGTTGCAACTGTGACAAAGTTGAGTAGTTGTGACAGACCCTATAGCCCACAGAGCCTACAGTATTCACCGTCAGGCCCCTTACAGAGAAAATTTGCCAACTTCTGCTAATAGGGATTCAATCCGGGTCCTCAGTAGGGGTGTCTGATCTGTAGGACTTAAAAGCCAGTCCCTGGGAAAGGTCTGGACCGGGACAGAAAGTCTGGGGAGTAGGGAAGGATAGGAGAGGAAGTTCAGATTCCTGAAGGGGACATCTAACATTTTTAAGTTTGATTTAGTTTAATTTAATTTAATTTTAAGTAGGCTCCATACACAGCCCTGAGATCCAGAGCCTCATACTCTTCCAATTGAGCCAGCCAGAGGCTCCGGGAGTCTAACATCTTTTAAGGGACACGGAAGCATTACGATATGCCCCTGCCTTTTTGAAATTAGAATTTTAAAACTACCGGG